TACTTAATAGACGTTTTGCTTATGTTAATTTTCAACAAATATAACACGCTATTTTTTTTTAGTTCGATATTGCGATATTTTATATGATATCGCATTTTGTATGTAGGATTTTGGGTTTTACACATCATAAAAATATATTTTGGATCTACGAATGCAGGTGAAACAAAATGGAAGAGGCCATTTCAAGACAATAACCGAAGCGATAAATAGTGTACGGGCAGGGAACACTAGGCGTGTGATCATCAAGATAGGTCCTGGTGTATACAAAGAGAAGGTCACGATAGATAGAAGCAAGCCATTCATCACACTGTACGGTCATCCAAATGCAATGCCGGTATTGACATTCGACGGTACCGCAGCACAATATGGGACAGTCGATAGCGCAACTCTCATTGTCTTGTCCGACTATTTCATGGCTGTTAACATCATCCTTAAGGTATTTATATCGTAAGATATGTCTCAAAATATGTGGACTAATCAAGGACAGTTTATGATTACCTTACATGTGACATTACTTTTGAAAGAAAAAAGAAAAAACGGCACTATTTTACAAATGAGATAAATAAATTTTTGTTTTCAGAATTCTGCGCCTATGCCGGATGGTAAGAGGAAGGGAGCACAAGCTTTATCTATGAGAATCTCTGGCAACAAAGCAGCTTTCTACAACTGTAAATTTTACGGTTATCAAGACACGATTTGCGATGACACCGGAAACCATTTCTTCAAAGACTGCTACATCGAAGGCACATTTGATTTCATCTTTGGAAGCGGACGCTCTCTGTACCTCGTACCTACCTAATTAGATCTCTTGCTCCATAGTGTATATATACAATAACGATGATCATTAACGTTAATCGTTTTGTATGTTAATGAAAATAGGGTACACAACTAAACGTTGTGGGAGATGGAATCAGAGTGATCACAGCTCATGCGGGAAAAAGCGCTGCAGAGAAAAGCGGATACTCGTTCGTCCACTGCAAGGTTACAGGGACTGGAACCGGGATCTACTTGGGTCGATCATGGATGAGCCACCCCAAGGTTGTTTATGCATACACGGATATGTCAAGTGTTGTGAACCCATCTGGATGGCAAGAAAACCGCGAGGCCGGACGTGACAAGTATGTATAGTCCAAAGTCCAAACCATAGTATATCAATCAAAAACTATGTGACATAAGTTTTAATGTAAAATGCACTGATTGATGAGCAGGACGGTGTTCTATGGAGAATATAAGTGCACAGGAACAGGATCGCACAAGGAGAAGAGAGTAAAGTATACACAAGACATTGATGACATAGAAGCTAAGTACTTCATCTCGCTTGGCTACATCCAAGGATCTAGCTGGCTCCTGCCTCCTCCTTCTTTCTAATGTAACTACCAAATTAATCAACCACTCCGTTTTAAATTACTATATTTGGAAGAAGAAAAAAAAACACAAAAACATGTAACTTGTTGTACTATTACATTTTTTTTGTTTTTCTGATATTGTAATTATTGGAGAAGCTGAGGCTTGTTTAGTGTTTTGCTTTTACAAGAAATAAGAGTACCTGGTTTACAAATGTGTTAGCAAATCTCTACTTAGCTTTGATCTTCAAGAAAAAAGAAGGAAAATATTTAAAAAGGCTTATACCAAATTTTCAAAAAATGCTCCAATTCTCACATTAAAATCTGAAATAGCAAACTTTTTTTTGTTTTTTAAAAGTGTCAAAAATGCTCTGTTTCCCAATTCATTCATCAATCTTGTGCTAAAGCTTGGTGATTTCGTGATCAGTAAGTTGAGATACGAACTCAGGGATGTCGCCGTGGTATAATGTTGAAGAGATTGAAGTTTATGAATCTTAAGGTTTCTTATATTCCCTAGCTCTCAAGAAACAGAGCATGTAAGCTCATTCATTGGTCTGAAGAAACAGAGTTCTTGACATACACTAATTCTGCATGAATTGATCCTTCGTTTGCGCCACTGAAGCTATGTTACCCAAAGAGTTTGGTTTCTAAAGTTCCCTTGTTCTAGGGTCTACGTGCAGATTCTGGTGAAGAAAGTACTGGTGATTCTTCCAAACATATACGCAAAACGCAGCTTCAGTAAGTACATGGCTCGTGCCTTTCACAACATCAAGTTTCACCATTCTCATTCCTGCACCCTCCGTATGGGAGCTTTCACTCATGGTGTTAAATGAGCCACTCGCGCCACTCTCTTGAGTGGCTGGGAACCTTGAGCCACACACACACACCTTATTCCATCCTTTTTTCTTCTCATTGGAACTGAAAACGTTTTAGAGCTCAGAAACAAAAACATAATGTAACATGAAGGAAAACAATATGTTAACATGAAAAAAGCTTTTTTGCTTAGTGGAGAAATCAAACATTACATGCCGTTTTTCTGTCACAACTCACAAGACGTACACAACATGCCGGTTTCGAGTTGTTGGTTGTTTAGAGAAGACATGTCTAACATTGTATTATAACTTTAATTGTGTGTATATACAGATCAAAGTATGCGGTTCTAATTATTTAATCAGTACATACCATTTTTAGTTACACTGACAGAATGAGATTCTAAGGAAGTAGAATGTGTTGCAAAATTCAATCGAAAGGGTCGATACGAGGATCATGCTCACTGGCCATAGCCATTCCTGTGCACAGACATGTCGGGCACATCACCTGAGCATCAAACACATACAACTTAGTATCCACACCTTTAGGTTTTGTGTTTTATATGTTTTGGTTTTTGTGTGTTTTACCTTTCCGGCACCTGAACAGTTTGAACATCTTTCGGTTTTGGGCGGTGATAGAGAATGATTCCCACCAGCAATAGCTGAGACTGGTTCAGTTAAAACAAGAGCACCTGTGCTAGAGCAACGAGCACATGCTAGATACCCTGTGTTATATAAGAATATATGTGAATACATATTGTAGAACCACCAGACTCATTTTTTAAAAACCATGTTTGAAAGGAAAAAGGAGAAAAAGTAAGCCACAATACCAGTTCCTAGACAGTATTTGCATCTCTTGTGCTCTTGCTGCTTTACGTTGTTAACTTCTACTACCATCAAAGCCGAAATCACACCAACCGCTCCTCCAGAAAACGACGCTACTATCGGGTCCACTTGACTGTTATTCAAATGAACACACAGATTAAGCATCTTTTCAAGAAATATTATACGAAAAACGCAATGAAGATGCGAAAAAACTTGACAGTTGTTTGAAAGAAAACTCAAAGAAACAAGTATTAAAACCTCAATTGCATAGGTAGATGAAGGCTTTGAATGAAATCTGCATACGATGTACCTCCTATACCTAACTTCAGCTCTAGCTGGCAAAGAGTACACGTTGAAAACTATATTAGAGGGAACAAACAAAGCCAATCTTGAAAAAACAAGGCGTAGCAAAAGCACTTACAGTAGGAGCTAGTAGACCACCGAATAGGATAATCCCCGCGATGAGTGAGAAACAAGTTGCGTAATAGACTTTCAAATTGGCAGCAGTCTGAATATCGAAATGTATTTTTATAATCAATTCAATCATGCAAGGGAGGGTGAAAAGAATCACAAATCTTGTAATAAACTCACCAATGGAGGTAAGAATGGGATAAAAGATGGGAAATTAGGTAATTCATGTTCTTGTTCTTCGTTAATGATACCAAGTTCTGTGTTTTTAATCCGTTGTTGTATTCTTAGCCTCCGCACCTACCACAAAAAAAAAGGAACAGTATAAGAAAGGTTTCTACTTTAAGAAACAATTGTGTACTAGTAAGTAAGTACCTCTTCCATGTGCAAGAAGATCTTGTTTCGTCGGCTTCGAATGTTATCTTGAATCTCTTGTAATTGCATTTTGGCAAAGTCCTGTACTGTTTCAGGCCCTTCTATTATACAAAACCTTGAGCAATCCAACAAAAAAAATTGATTCTTCCTTTCATTATCAATGAATACGCAAACAATCAAGCTCTGTAGTTTAAAGCAAATTCAGAATACCCGGAAGCGAATTTATCGGCGGAGGATTCAGAGTCGAGTGAGGAAGATTCAGGATCCAACGCCGTGAATCGCCATCTGAGTCTCCGATTTCGCCCTAGTGAAGAAGACAGCTTATACTGTGAAAACCGCCAAGTGTACGGATCCGGTGGGTAGGAAACAGACAAAATCCTACCCAAAGATGACATCTTTTCGATATCTTCAGCACAAGATCGATCATACAGATTAGTTTTGCCTGCTCTTAAATGGTCGGTATTGTATAGTGAGAATTGAGAAATCGAGACCGAAAGAGAGCAACTCTGCTCAACTGTATGTACGTGGCGAGTTCGTATTGGTGCTTATTATTTTTTAATTTCACACTTGTCTTGTTGTTTAGGTTTGTTTTGAGAAAACTTGTGGTGGCAGAATTCTTTTGTTGCTGACTTGGAATTTTTTTAAATGGATAATTGATGAATAATTGATTTTTTTGTTGTTGTTGTTGTTGTTGTGAGTGCTAATAAGATATACTTTCCACTAATTTAAAATTATGTGTTCTTTGAAAATAAAATTGTAACATTCATATTTGTGTGTTATATACAATAGTCAAACTTAGCAAGGCTTTGAGTTTAGTTTAGGGGATAATACGACCTACTAATCTCCCAATTAAGATTAATAATCCAATTCTGGATCCTATTACCAAATTAGCCTTAAAAATGTGACAGTTTTGATGAATTTTTTACGTCTAAAAAACGAATACATAGGCCATGAGTTTTGAAATCACTACCTTAAGTGAACATACAAATGGGCCGAATCAAATTAAACTAAATGTTTGGTGGGTTTTATAAACATTTTTCTAACTAGTAAGGCCTACTTAAATATTTCGGCCCAATTAAGCCCTAATCAAACAAGGGTTATGGAGAAACCCTAGGCAATTAACCTATAAATATTAATTTCAATTAATCTTCATCATCAATCCAATTCCTGGGTTAATTAGCAATCGCCTTTTCCTAGTTCTTCTTCTTCTATTATGATTTTTTGTTAATTCGGAAAGAGAAATCGTGGTGATGACTTGGAAATATTCAAGCTCAACAGACCGTAATGTAGGATTTTTCCTAGTGGAAAGTCTTGCGTGTGTCGATAATCCCGCTGAACTGAGCGATTTCTCCTCTTCCAAACTTCAAATATTTTTTCGAATATTTTTTTCCGATTTTCTTCTCATAATCTTTTGGATTCTAAAATTTGGTGATTACAATGAGGAGGATCCGCAACTCCCTCTTCTGATCTTTGATTTGAAGTTAATTGGCTTGAGTGATCTCTTCCTGTTCCCAAACAAAGAAACCTTTTGTTTGAACAAAGTATCTGTTCCCAGCTTTTCAAGTATTTAACAATGCATGTCGTCCCTCCATTCCAAATTAGGATCTAGCCGATGGAGCGTTTTTTTTTTTTTTTTTTTTGATGGAGCGTGTTCTTGAACAAATTTTGTTAAATATCTCTGTCACGCATTAATTCCTAAGAATATGCAATAGTCATAAGAGATATATGACGTATCTGTAGTTTGTTACCAATATAATGTTAGAAACGCGTAGAGATACATAGTCAAAGCACATATGCATGTGATGATGCTTTTATATAAAAATCAAATGATGCATTTTTGTGCTAAGTGTGTAATAATAGAGGAAGTGGGTGGAAATAGTAGTCACTAGTGAGGGTCCAGCACGTGGCACTACTTAAGCGTCACAGAATGTTGTTACTAGTAGAACCCTTGGGCTCTCGACCAAATCGAAATTTTAAATTATACTCCGATATGAAGAGAAATGTGCCTACCTGTTTAAGTCCACTATCACAATTGATCCATATATACGTAAATCCATTATCTAGATATTTTTGAAACTAAACAGAGGAATGTTGTCTAAGAAACACGAATACTAACAAATAGGGACACTAATAATTGTAATTTAAAAAATAATAATAATAATAATAATAATAATAATTGTAATTTGAAGAAAAAATTAAAAAAAAACTTCGACGATAGTGGATTGGGAGCTTTCAGATAAAATTTTGGCGGTAGTCTTTTAGATGTATGTAATAAACGAATATAGGTTATGTAATATGGATATTCGATCATATCGTAAAAGAGACATTAGACATAACATATGGTAGTTGCTCCACCGTAGGCAGTTGTGCGTGTGGACCGCTTCACCGTTGAAAATATATGAAAAGTTTCCATCATTCCAAAAACAAATCCTTTAGATATTTCCTAGAGCCAAAAACATACATTCGTGTATGCACTATAGATCTCAATCGTTACAGGAACACACAAAGAAAACAGTGTAAATCTTGTGGAATCAATATAATCGATTCATTTATTGCAAACAAACATAAACATCACAATCCGTAAAAAAATAAACTACTAGAACAAATCAATTAAGGTGGAATTGCTCTTCTAAATTTATAAATCTATTTGTCAAAAAAAAATTACAAATCTATCATGTCACTTAACGTGCATCGGTTATTGCTAATTTTTTTTTTTTTGTCGGTTATTGTTAAACTAATATTGTAAACTATATGTGTTCTACTAACTGGATAAAATTATTAGTATATTTTGGTACGTCCATTTTATGAATCCTCTTACAATTTTTTATTCAAAAAAAAAAAGTAAGAAATTTTGAGTCTAAGCTCATACAAATTTTTTAAATCAATCATATATTAATGTATTAAAAATTAGCATTTTCCGATTTGCTGTTCAAATTTTGATATACATTTGTTAATTTTGGCCTCTGCATATACGATTATAATTGATCAAAAACTATCTAGTTTTCTATGCACACACGTTTTATATTATACATGCGAAATAATATCATCATATCAAAAGACCATCACAAAACACCGACCGACCTCAAAACCTATGTATATTCAATGTTGTAATCATTCATATATACGTTAAATTTTCTAAAATAAACCTATACGATGTAGGGCCATATATATGATGACCTCGTACATATGTAATAAATCATAATTTTAAATAAAAGTTTCTAATAAAATCATATATGATCAAGCTAGACTAGGTTTTGGATTTCATTGTTTAATTTGAATCAAATTTCTTTAACAATTTGATTCAAAAAGTTAAACCATTTAAATTTGATATAGCAAATGTTAGCTTGATTGGTTTGCGAGGGAGTTAGATTTGTCAACTGTTAGACGATAAGATGCTTGCTAATTCTTTGTGTTCTATAGTTTTTAATAATCACGATACACCTGATTTGCTCATCATTTCCGATTAATATTTAGAATTTGCGGCTGCGTAGCCAATCTTAAAGACGAATTAGTGGAAAAGAAATCTACAACTGTCAATGGTGTTGATGTTTATATGCGTGTGTTTTCTAGATGTATTTTACCTTGCAATGATGATGATTATCACCATCATTTGCAGATCACAGGCCCGTAACTAGAAAATTTGTGAGTGGGATTGACGTTGAGATGCATCTTAAATTGGTTCTTGAAGGATAATGTTTTCTACTTCAAAAAAACTCAAGTAGATCAGTAATAATATCAAATAGTCATCATTTCATTTGACTTTTTGTATAATACATTAATACCAACTATAATAGAGGCTACATTTCATTTCGTTTTTGGCAATATCGTTATAATTAACAATAATCTTATAATCATAGTAAAAAAAATTTGGGCACTAAGTCATGGTAATTAGTATCTATATGATAAAAGGGTTCGTAGCTAGTGACTTCATGATTGAACTTGTAATTATATTGTTAGGTGTTAGGTGCTTATTTTCAGTTGATAATTATGTCTAAGTAAACAATTATAAAAAAATGGTGTTTAATCTTTTTTCCTAACAAAATTTCTTTAGTTTCGAGATACGACTTAACAAAAGGGTGTGTCTGGCCCATCTCACACTATCAAACCAACTTGTTACGGACCGTTGTTGCCTATAAATGGTGGCAGAAGCTTTCTTACAATAACTTCATAACAAAACAAGATTTTGAAGTAAAACATAAAAGAAAATAAACCCTAAGAATATATCGAAAATGATCAAAGGGTTCTTGTTGGTTTTTTTCTTTTTAATCACTGCAAAGACTTCTGTTTCACGTCCGTTTGCATGGTCGAGAGGTAACATGCCAGGCGAAAGTGGGTCGGGCCGTGGGCCGAATTGGGAGTACAATTGGGGTTGGGGCTCCGCTCCAGGATCTGGATGGGGTTACGGGGCAGGCTCAGGTAGATCACCAACAGGATGGGGAAGAGGATCCGGATACGGTTATGGATCTGGATCGGGATCAGGTACCGGGTATGGATATGGTTCTGGAGCTGGTGGAGCACGTGGTGGTGGATATGGTTACGGAAGCGGAAATGGTCGGTCTGGTGGCGGTGGTGGTGGTGGTGGTTTCAACGGTGAAGTTGCCGCTTTGAGCCATGGTAGTAAGATTCATCCGTAAGGACGTTTGATTTGGTAATTTCTCCCAACTATAATATTTTGGGAGGAGTATAAGCGTTTGCAATATTAAAAGATTATTAGGTTTGGACTTTGGTCCTCTGTTAAATGTAACTTATCTTCCTTTGCCTTGTATGCTTTTTATATAGATTATGCGCTCGACGTATCTTATAATGTCTGCATGTCTCTTAAGTGTGATCTCTTTTCTTTCTTTTTTTTGGTATCAATATTAAGTATATTTAGTGTTTTTGGTATGTGTTTGATCATTTGATGAAAACAAATATTATCAGATTTGCATTTAGTTCAACTTGTATCGAGTAAAGAAACCAATCTCTAGATGTACAAAACAAATTCCAAGCTAACATCACTAATCAAGAACCCTCGGATATATAAAAAGGTTTTACATCACACAACGTGATAACGACCCAATGCATAAATATAATCAAGCAGCAGCGAGTTGCTTCTTGTTGTGGTGAGTAGATAAAGAGTCTTCCTCGTGTGGATACATCACAAGTTTCGTCTTAGAAGAGATTTTGAATGAAGAAGGTTCAAGAAACAGAGACTTCATCTTCATCAACATCGCCATCTCTCTTTGTAGAAAACAACAATAGTTATTGAAAGTAGAAACGGTGACGTTTAACTCAAACCCAATTCCGAACAAGAAGTCAAGCTCAAGCATGTTCATTTCTTCTCTGCTTATTCCTCCAACTTTTGCATAATATTCATTGTTGTAACTCCTAAAATTGTTACACAAAGATATTAACAATTAAACAAAATGTTAACTCATTAGTAAATTTCAAAAAGTTAATTAGCCTCAGAATTATTTACTTACAAGTCATCCATGAATTTAGCAGAGACCAAGACACTTGTGATTATAAGCCTATGGACATTAAAAGAATTGATAGGCAAAAATGGCTGCTTCTTCACGAACCGATCCAAATATATATATGCGACGATGTAACACGAGTAGCTACAATTCGCGTATTCAAAGATCCGTTCGAGATAGCTTCTGATGGAAATGGAAGGTTTGGTTACTCCAGTGAAGCTTGAGGGCCTCTGTTTCTGGCTCAGGTTGTCGTTGGTCTCCGATACTCTTTGCAAGAGATACGACATTGCCGTTAAAACACTTGGCATGATCTCAGCCAATGGTTCTTGAAGATCTTGGTTCATTCTCTGGATCTCAATCTGATCAGCCATTCGAATGACGGAAGAAAAGATAAACAGAGCTCTGTTTTTGATGAGTTTATTACATTACATGTTTTGGTTTGCTTTTTGTACCTGTCTTTTGCCTGTCATTTTGGTGTTATATAGAAGGAATTTTAAATAAGATTGTGAATATTCTATTACTATATGCATTGAATTTTTATTTTCTACTACTCCATTCATTACAAGTATCATTTTAGATTTTTGTTTAAAACTAAATGCATTTTTTACGAAACAATAAAAGTCTTATTTTATGTATATCCTTGAAAAAATATAGTTGGATGGAAATATATTCCCTAGTAAACGTTAAAACTCTTCAACTAAAATTATTATCATGTGGTAGTTCACAAATCACGCATTTTATGTTTGATTTTGTAGTTTCATTTGAATACTCAAGATTAGTTTTGAATTAACAATCTAGTGATTATGATCATCGCATGGTTAAGCCATTGGCCTGAGAATTTATTATTAATTAAACCGACTTCTGGTGATATTAACTAACTTAGCTTCTAAA